TGGGTGTCTTTTTATGGCACTCAGAATGTGCAGCCTGAGGGGTGTGCTTGAGCAAGAAGAATCTTAATGACAAGCAGGTTTCTCAGGATTAGCATATTGAAATGTTGTGTAGATTAACCCAATGTAAGGTTTAAAGGAGAATAGCAAGTATGTACATATAGGGGAATCAAGATGCTTTCGAACCGCTACGTTGGCGGGAGCTGGAACAAGCAACGGAAGCTCACTCCGTCATGTGGATTCGATCTTACAGCTGCTTGGTCTTCTGACCCTGCAGCACAGGCTTCTGCGGTTTAGCCCGCAGCGCCACCACGTCCCTTTAGCAAGTATGTACATATAGGGGAATCAACTCTTTCAAAGGCCTTACACCAAGCAGTAATGGTGGCTACCCTGGCTACCCTGTTGTTGTTTTGATGCATTGATGTATGTTAATTTTGGAGAAATGATAGGCCCTAAAGAGGGAAGCAAACTGGCCAGATTTGGGGAGTTAGTTTCATCTTTCCATAATAGGCATCCTTCAATGTTGTTTTTTTGTAAAGCAACCAGACTAGTAGGCTGAAGTAGCTTCTGTCCTACCTCGTTCTGCCCCAGATGTACCTGAGATTTATCTCCCCTCAAGGCTTCAGCTGGCTTGCTGAGACTTGTCATCATGTCTGCTGGGCACAATCTCAGCTTTTGTGTTGTGAGATGAATTATTTTTCCTCTATTGAAGACACAGCAACAATTTCTAAGTGTGTGCCTCTATGTGTATAATCAGCAAATGCAAATTTTATGGAGATCTGGATCACCTTTTGCCCTTTCCATGATGACACATTTCCTCTGGTTTGGACGGTGCTCAACTGCCCACCGGAATTTGGTCTGTGGTTGCAGCATGGCTCTTAATGGTCTTGTGACATTTTTGAGAGGCTTGTAGGATATTCTGGAAGCTAGGGGTGGTCTAGCTACTTTGTTGGATAGACTGAAAAAACCACTCTCCCAGACGGAAAAGACCAGAGAGCAACTCATGCAACCAAAAGAACACACAAGCGTTTCAGAACCCTTCTGCTTTCTTTCTGGCAGCAGAATTCATCTTGTTGTTTAGTTGTTTAGTTGTATCCGACTCTTTGTGACCCCATGGACCAGAGTGTGCCAGGCCCTCCTATCTTCCACTGCCATCAGCTTCGATGACACTGTCCAACCATCTTGTCCTCTGTCGTCCCCTTCTCCTCTTGCCTTTACACTTTCCCAATATCAGAGTCTTTTCCAGGGAGTCTTCTCTTCTCATGAGATGGCCAAATTATTGGACCCTCCGCCTCAGGATCTGTCCTTCCAGTGAGCACAGGGTTGATTTCCTTTAAAATGAATAGGTTTGTTCTATTTGCAGTCCAGGGGCCTCTCAAGCGTCTCCTCCAGCACCACAATTCAAAAGCATCAATTCTTCAGCGGTCAGCCCTCATCAGAATTCATCTTATGTAATAATTAATTATTGTTGTTTGTTGTTTAGTCGTTTAGTCATGTCCAACTATTCGTGACCCCATGGACCAGAGCACGCCAGGCCCTCCTTTCTTCCACTACCTCCCAGAGTTGGGTCAAATTCATCTTGGTAACTTGGATGACACTGTCCAACCATCTCATTAATAATTGCATGCCATCAAATAAATTCCAACATATATTGAAATGTTGGAAGTTGATTTTTAAAGAAATAAATGAAATATTAAACTTAAATTGAGGAATATGCCCTAATATAGCACTTTTATCAATATTTGAGAGTGAATATTGGAATTGGACAATGAAAGACTTGATCACAAGTCTAGTAACAGTGGCTAAATTAAAACTAGCAAAGAACTGGGAAGTTAAGTGTGATCTTGAATTAAATGGTGGTAAGAAGTGTGGAATACAGCTATTAATGATAACTTATCATGCAATATGAAAGAAAGAAAAGGAATGGCAAATAAGAATATGGTTAGAGATATATGGGGAGAATGTATTCATTTTGTATTAGCAAAGGGGAAGGTTGTAAGCCTCCAGAGGAATCAGTGTATTTCTGAGACAGGAAATGGGATTCCGTAAAAGGACGAAAAATTGAGTACTGTATCTCCAGTTGTTTCAGTGATGAAGGAACACTATATGTGCTGGTTTTCTGTAGATTTGTTTTTTACATGTGATTGTCAGATAAAATTAATTAAATAACTAAATAGATTCTATCCTATGGCAAACCCTTTCCAGTTTTGCTCGGTATAGAGCACTCAGAAGATTTACCATTCCCAGGCTGCCCTGGGACTATGCAGCTTGCCCAAGGCTACGCAGGCTGGCTCTTCACTCAGGAGACGCAGTAGAGCATCGAAGTCCTGGCCACCAGGTCCACCACCACATGCCCAGTTCACTGACTGGCCAAGTGGTTTGGGAAGTGACCAGTGCTTATGACAGAGTTTAAAAAAATAATCACAGAAGTGTTGAAAGAAAAGGCCTCTGAGATCAGGGGAAAATATGGGCCAGTTGGATTTCAAAAAGTTCTTTGGCTGGACCAGTCCCAAGGATCCCTCGACAAGCATGGCTCTCTGGGAGCTGTCCCTTTCCCAAGCTCTGGTTATTATTCAGGATTGACAATCCTAGATGTAACAGACGATTTGACCTCACATAAGACAATGTCCATCTAAATAGAGTGGTGCCTCGCTAGACGATGATAATCCGTTCCACTGAAATCACTGTTTAGCGAAATCATTGTCTAGCGAAAAGCATTTCCCCATTGGAACGCATTGAAACCTATTTAATGTGTTCCAATGGGGAAGAATCGTCATTGTCTAGCAAAGATCAGCCATAGGAAAGCTGCTTTGCGAACCACCGATCAGCTGTTTAAATCACTGTCTTGTGAAGCTTAGGTCCCGAAAACACCTGTTTTGTGAGCGCGGAGGCAGCTGTGAAAATCGTTGTCTAGCGAAAATCGGTTTGTGAAGCAGGGACCAAACATTGTCCAGCGAAATTTCCCCATAGGAATCACTGTTTTGCGAATCACTATAGCTTTGGCCATCTCATGAGAAGAGAAGATTCCTTGGAAATGACCTTGGTGTTAGGAAAGTGTGACGGCAAGAGGAGAAGGGGACGACAGAGGATAAGATGGTTGGACAGTGTCATCGAAGCAACCAACATGAATTTGACACAATTCCAGGAGGCAGTGGAAGATAGGAGGGCCTGGCGTGCTCTGGGCCATGGGGTCACGAAGAGTCGGACACGACTAAACGATGACGACGACAGTGATCGCAAAAAGTCAATGTCTAGCGAAAAAACTGTCATGCAGGGTAACCGTCTAGCGAGGCACCAGTGTAGCTTCATTTTGGCCAGTTGTTTTACTTGGGAGCACGCTGCCTTTGTTTCAGTGGACTTCCCACAAGTATTAAGGACAGGACTGTAGTAGGGAAATAAATTTATTACTGTCGTTTTAAAAGTACATCACATTTGGGTTTTCAGAGAATCTGCTTTACACTTGGAGATGGTAAAATAGGACAGCTTTTGTTACAGGTAGGCGGTATGTTAATAAACAGAATTTCACACACAGCAATGTGTTCAAATGTGTGCCCACTGCCATGCAAAGCTGCTTTAAAAATAACTCAAAGATCAGTAGACATGGTGGGGTTTGTTTCCCCCACCTCTTCCAGAGGAAGTAATATTTTGTTACAAAGGTGTTGGTAAATGCTACTGGACAATGGCTAGTACCCTATGGAGGGTTTAGTCTGGTGCACATGCAGTTATATAAATCTTGGTGGGAAATTGCTGCTAATTAATGAGTTGTTCCTTGCATTACCCATTGCATGCTGCTCAGTCTCCTTCTAGGATTCTCGTCAATGCAACTGTGAGGTGGTTGAGGGAATGCATCTAGTCGCGTTTCTTAATTGTTTCCTTGTTATCCTGGAGAAAAAGTGAGGTGCCAGAGAGATCTGTCTTGGGCCTCGTGTTGTTCAACATTTTTGTAAATGCCTTCCAAGCAGGGATGTAAAGGAGGCTCATCAAATTTGCAAACAACCTTAAACTGGGCAGCTGATAATTTCAGAAAATGGAATTGGGATTCATGGAGACCAAATCTGATTGGAAAACTAGGTCAAAGCCAACGAAATGACTTTCAGCAAGGAAAATTGTGAAGTTCTGAATTCAGGCAGGAGAAATCGGCTGCATATTTATAAAATGGCCAACAATTGACTTGGTAGTATAATCTTAGAAAGGCACCTTATGTTTGTAATGCCCTCATTGGAGAAGCGTACTTAATGCTAATACTGTACTCTTTCAGTTTCCCACTAAAACTTTTTTATTCAGCCAGGTATTTTAAATTTAGATGTGTCACTTTTTTTTAGTTGAAGTTATTTTTTTCTGTCTTTCAGCATCTTGATATTGCTGTTTAGATATAATGCTGATGTTATTGGAGCAGGTATATATAAGCTCAATGTAATCCTCTTGGATGAACATGGAACCAAGAATCTTGTGACTTCTTAAGACTGACAGGTCTCATTGGGCATCATCGGCTTTCATGGGCCGCAGTCCCCCTTCATCAGACGAGGTCTCTGGGTTTGACTGTGTTCTCTGGCTCTGATGTTTTTCCTGAGCTCTGTTGGAAAAGGAGCAATGTATCAACCTGGTTTCAGCTCGAGAGACTTTATTTTTAAAATTCACTCTCCCTCGCCATGTCTGTCAGACTGTACCTCTGAAAAACGAGGCACGGTATAGGCTGGCCACACTCTTTCATCTGCAAATGGGCACTCTTTCATAGGCTCTTTCCACCTCGGGTATTCCAGGTTGTAAGCTTTACAAGACTTAGGAACGCCTCAAAGCATGGACCGTTCACTGTAAATAACTTGTCTGATATGTGTTTGGTTCAGCCTCTACTGGGGACTTTTCCTTCAGGTGCTGAATTCATGTCACCACAGCTGGAGGAATGGGACACCGAGCTATCTACCCAAGCTATCTGAGAAGCCATGGCTGTAGCAATGCATGTGAATGCTGCCTGATTTTGATTGTTTGCTTGTTCTCTTTTCTAGCTCTTCTTTATGCAACTATTTTTGGAAACGTCACCACCATTTTCCAACAAATGTATGCCAACACCAACCGTTACCATGAGATGCTGAATAACGTGCGAGATTTCCTGAAGTTGTACCAAGTACCCAAAGGCCTTAGCGAACGAGTCATGGATTATATTGTCTCCACGTGGTCCATGTCCAAAGGGATCGATACAGAGAAGGTATGAGTACGTATGTGGAGACAAGTGGATGTGGAGTATCTGTGAAATCTAGTTGTCAAACAGTTAAACCTGGAGTGCGTCAATTCCAATCAAATTAGCCAACAGAGGGCATGGAGTAAACATGCCAAATTCCATTGTGGTTTGTTCTTGTTTTAAAAGTCAATGTCTAGCGAAAAAACTGTCATTTATTTATTTGTTTGTTTGTTTGTTTATGTTTGTTTGTTTGTTTGTTTGCTTGCTTGCTTGCTTGCTTGCTTGCGTGTTTGTTAGATTTATGTACCGCCCATCTAGAACGTGTCTACTCTGGGTGGTTTACATATAATATAAAAATATATTTTAAACAGGGAAAAATGTAAAGTTCTACATTTAGGCAGGAAAAATCAGATGCACAAATATGAGATGGGTGACAGTTGCCTTCACAGTTATATATGTGAAAAGGATTTAGGTGCCTTAGTAGAAACTAAAGTATAGGGTCTAGATCCAGGAAAGTAATGGTACTGCTCTTGTACTGCTTTCATCAGAACTTACCTGGAATATTGCATCCTATTCTGGATACCACAGTCTAGCAAGGACATTGACAAGCTGTATCTAGTTGCAAGGATGGTCAAATGTCTGAAAAACGAGCTGCATGAGGAGTGGTTGAGGGAGCTGGTTATTGTTTAGCCTGGAGAAGGGGAGACTGGGGGGTGTTATGTTCCTCTAATATCTCCAATTTTCCTGAACAGATCTCTGAAGGGCTGTCATATGGATGATAGGTGGGACGTGGTGGTGCTGCAGGTTAAACCACAGAAGCCTCGGTGCTGCAGGGTCAGAAGGCCAGCAGTCGTAAGATTGAATCCACGCAACAGAGGGAGCTCCCGTCACTTGTCCCAGCTCCTGCCAACCTAGTGGTTCAAAAGCATGTAAATGTGAGTAGATAAATAGGTACCACCTTGGGAAGGTAAAAGTGTTCTGTATCTAGTCGCACTGGCCGTGTGACCGTGGGAACTGTCTTCGGACAAACACTGGCTCTACAGCTTGGAGACTGGGATACGACTGGACTAAATGTCAAGGGGAACCTTTACCTTTACCATATGGATGATGGAGCAAACTGAGGGAACTGTCTTCGGACAAACACTGGCTCTACAGCTTGGAGACTGGGATACGACTGGACTAAATGTCAAGGGGAACCTTTACCTTTACCATATGGATGATGGAGCAAACTGAAGGTGTAATCACATGGGGAAATAGATTGCATTTTGCACTCCTTGTGGAACATTCCAGTTTGATTTCTCTGCAATTATACCATGTATGGGGAATTGCACTCCAGCCTGACCATAGCCCATGCCCTTTTTGGTTCAGTTGTAGGGTTACTACAACTTGGGGCTGGGATGGAGCCGTTCCCCTACAAACAGAAGGGGAGCTTTAAGGGAGAATACCCCTTGGAGAGTGACCCTTTCTGGTGAGGTTGGACACACATTTTTCCTGCCGTTTCATCATACCCTTCTTTGCTCTTGAATCAGCGAAGACAATCCGAAGTCGTTGATTCAAATTATGAGAAAGGTGATTTCTAAACATTAGGAAGAACTTCTTGGGAGTAAAGGGTGTTTGATAATGGAATGGCCTGCTTAAGAATGCAGTGGACTAGAGGCTTTAAACCAGAGATTAGATGTAGCTCCGTTTATGCATTCAGTGAAGGAGTTAGTCTTAACCTATGAGCAAAGGGAGCAGGGCAGGAATGCCCCATCCATTCTAGGTCTTGCATCTGGAGAGCTACACATGTGGAGAACTCAGTCTGTTGGGGCCCTCTGTATAACCCAAAGCCCTGGAAAAAACAAAAACAGGTTTCCCCATAATTTGGAAATATTCCACACAGAGAAACTCTTTAAGATTCAACTCGCCACTCACAAAAAGCAGGATGTAAGGAAAAGAGTAGCATCTTCCTTTTGCTTACAGGTTAGGAGGATTAATACTTTTATTGAATACCTGAACAGGGCTTATGTGTTCTGAACATCACAAACAGAATCTCGCAATTGCTGCCGTTGTCCCTGGGAAGTGATTTGAACATCCTGAGGTCACCTGGCTTGCCGGCTTAGAGAGCCCAGAAAGGGGTGGGGAGCAGTTGATAGCAAGCAGGAAATGTTTGGCAGAATCAAAAAAGGTTTCTTAATTAAAATGTCCAGCTATTGCTCGTTGGATAGAGCTTCATAATTTCCCTCTCTGACTGTGGTTAGCTGAATAAAGTATGCAAAAGTAAGATGTACTAAATTCTTTAGGTAAAGGTTCTCCTTGACATTTAGTCCAGTCGTGTCCAACTCTAGGGTGCGGTGCTCATCCCTGTCTCCAAGCCGTAGAGCCAGCGTTTGTCTGTAGACAGTTTCCATGGTCACATGGCCAGCACGACTGGACAAGGAACGCCGTTAGCTTTCCACCGTGGTGGTACCTATTTATCTACTCGCATTTTTACATGCTTTAAAACAGCTAGGTTGGCAGGAGCTGGGACAAGCGACGGGAGCTCACTCCATCGCGTGGATTCGATCTTACGATGGCTGCTCTTCTGACTTTGCAGCACAGAGGCTTCTGCAGTTTAACCTGCAGCGCCACCACATCCCTCTTTAGGGGAAAGCATTTCTTCACCTCTTCTTAGTGACACCATCCTCTTAACTAAATCTGATCTGTTTCATGCTGTGGTGTTTACATTTCTACCATGTGGACTAGATCCAGTATGCTACTAAACCATTTTGCTGCAGTCAACCTAGGACAATACATGCTTGAAACCACATCCTTTGAATAAGCATCCTTAGTTTAGTTTGTACAGGAACTGGTGTTGCATGCCCAGTTTTTCTGACCTAATACTGGGACTGCATATGGAAAGTCCTCTCGATGAGTTTTAATCCAGGCAATGCTCTGTTTGAGAAGGGGGTCATAGGATCTGGATTCAGTCCCTCTTCTTGCACTGAACAGTTGATTAGTAGGATTTTCTTGAAAGAATTTGTCAAGTTACTGGTTTAATTGTTGGACTGGATCATCAGGTTACACTTCAGATAATTAGGGGATTAAAGCCATCCAGAGTTCTCTATGCACTTTGTAGAGGTTTATTTCAAATGGATTCAATTGAAGCTAATGTGTACCTGTTGTTTCAGAATGAACAGCTGTGTACAAGCCGGACAGGCTTCTGTGCTCCCTCAGACCATGTAGGGGTTTAGAGCTTACTATAGACGATTCCACTCCATCAAGGGAGGTGTCTAAGTCATAAGAACGCAAGAAGAGCCCTGTTGGATCAGGCCAAGGGCCCCTCTGGTCCACCTTCCTGTACAGTATCTCACAGTGGGCCCAACAGATGCCTCTGGGAGCACATGAAACCACGAGATCCCTGCCTCCTGATCCCCCTCCCCTGCATCTGGCATTTGGAGGTGCCTTTCTTCTAAGCCTGGAAATTATACCTCCCCATCATGGCTTGTCACTTGCGATGGACTTTCCCTCCAGGAATCTGTCCAATCCCCTTTGAAAGGCATCCAGGCCAGATGCCATCACCACATCCTGTGGCAAGGAGTTCCACAGACGAACAACACGCTGGGTCGAGAAAGATTTTCTTTGGTCTGTTCTCATTCTCCTAACACTCAATTCGAGTGGATGTCCCCTGGTTCTGGTATCGCGTGAGAGGGAAAAGAGCTTCCCTCTATCCACTTTATGCATCCCCTGCATGATTTTATACGTCTCAGTCATGTCCCCCCTCTCAGGTTCCTTTTCTCTAGACTGAAGAGCCCCTTTCCTCATAAAGGAGGTGCCCCAGCCCAGTCCCTCCATCATTTCCAAAATATCTACATCTATAGCTCTAGAGATATAATCCTGCCTTTTAACTACCTGCTGTTATGTCAAGACTACATTACATTTCAACAAACATATGAAGAGGTTTACTCTTTCTCAGCAGTAGAAAGAAACAGCAGCACAGTTCTTCAGCTGGACATTCCCCCCATCATCATACAATCAGCATTGCTGTGCTGCAGTAAAATGGTTTAAGAAAGAACCCCAGTATATGTATTCCTTGCAACAGGATGGCTCACATGGCCATGTTATTCACCTCCAATCTCATCTGGTATATTTCAGGCAGCAAAGTGCTCCATTATGAGAAGTGTAATTCCTTTCTTTACAGTTCAGCGAATAAAAGGAGGCAGGAAGGTTTGCATATGCCTGCAAAAAGAAGGGGGAAAAAAAGAGCACCCTCAAAAACAATAAAATTGGAATCTATCTTTAAACTTTTGCAGCAGGGTTCCTATGGTGACGATAACTGTATGGGAATGTGAGAATATAAAAATAACTTCGGCTTGTGGGGTGGGGGAAGGCAACAGCTCTTAAAATAGTTTGTGTGTACGTGTCCACGAGGAGAAAAGCCAGTGTGTGGGAAGTTGAGGCTGGGTCTGAAGAAGGGCTCTGGGCTATAGATGTAAGAATATGTCACTCTCCTTTCTATTCGATTCTGTTACATCCCCTCGGCATTCTTATGCCATCCCTATGGCAGGCTGGGGTTACAGTCAATACAGAGTTTGAAACCAATTTACATTTTTAAAAACTCTTTCTGTGCAGTAGCATCGTTACACATGAACAGGTAGAGACATACAGATATAAAACTGCTGGATAGCACAGTGCTGTGGATCTGTGGCTATGGAGTCAGAGGTTGGGGGCCTGATTTCCCGCTGTGCAGGTGAATCAACCGGAAAGGTCCCTTTCAGATTTGCAGTTCTGAGATGATTATGATAATATTAGGACTGTGTGCTGAATTTTGGACAGATTGCAAATTACTAACCCAGTCAGCCTAATTCCGGCTGTTATGATCACAGCAGAATGTCTAGGTTCTGTCCCAAGGCAAAGTGAAGCCAATTTATGAATTGATTTGTGTCCCAGAACAGAAAACGGAATCAGGTGGACTGCTCTCCTCCCCTCCTAATCATCATATTTTTCTTCTCCCTCTCCTTGTCTTCTTGTTGAACTACAGTGTAAAAGTGGACACCATGCGAACCCCA